AATAATAATAATAATAATAATAATAATAATAATAATAATAATAATAATCACGGCATCAGTGATATACCGGGTCTCTTTAGATCCTATTGCCAAGCCTATCGATAAATCCTTCCAAGTATCTTTACTAGTGCCAAATGTAAATCACGTTTTCGTATTACATAATGAAGAACAAGTCGCAATCATACAGTCACTTAGCACAAGCATTCATATATAAATGAGAATATTACTAACTTACTTCAATAATTAACACTGTTCGAATGTTCGAATAACGGCACTTAATTTTAAATAAAATTCTCATCTTCCATCTTCTATCCTCAAAACTCATTCTACATGTTAAAGAATTCGATTCAAAATCCAATTAAAAAGGTCCCATTGTTCCGTTCCGTGGGGAAAAAATAAGACGTGTGGCTTTGTTGTCGAGCCTAGTATTTGCGCTATATTCCTATATTACACGCCTAGCCGTATCTTTGCACAGGAATATGCACTTCACGCGCGGCCTACTGTTGCACGGATTCCACTTGACAGAGATACGTATCATAGTCATTCACGCGCCCGCAAATTAGAAAAGCGTCGACGCGAAGCGATGATCACGTTGCATTGCGCGCCGGGCAGCATAGCGAAACAACGGCTGCAGATGTCTATGGAATCCAAGGAAAAATGCAGTACATCCGGTATTCAAGAATATCGCTATTTAGTAGTGTCTGACGTCGAGAGCTGTTTTGTTAGCGCTTTCTTAAAGTCTCGTCGCGCTTTTTTATCTTCCTTTATATTATTTTCGAAACTGCACGTTCAAAACGCATCGCGCGAGAAACGTTTTACGTCCGCATTACCAATACTTACGCGCGAGAAACGAGCCACTGAACAGCGGAATATAAACCCGATAATGCGGCCAGTTTCCTGGCGAGGAAATCGGACTTCAAAGCACGTGCGACGATAATAACAGGCGTCATCGCCGACTACGTCGCGGCTTTAAATGCCTCGGCATTAGCATCATTTCCACATTTGAAGTGTTAACGATCAATCGGTGACGATAAGCAAGCCTCTCCCTCGCCTCTTCCCCGTTGCTTTCGCAAGACTTGAAATTCTTGTGGACTCGTGTAACAAAATGGGCGCGATTCAATTAAACGCGAACGAAAACCGTGGGGCGATAATCATACTTGTATCTCGATGTTGCACAATCGGCGCCAGAAACGGAACGTCTTTCGTTCGGTAAGCTTCTGTAAAGTGATAATAAAAGCTCATAAGGCGTACTAATCGTGCTAATTGTAAGTGTTCTCGTCATCCCGGGAGTGGAAGCCTTAAAGCCTAAACGCAATACAAAGATACAGGCAATAAAAACAGCTGGAATAAGACAAGCAACAGAAATAACCCCACATTTCAACTTACCAAAAGTTGCATACCACGTTAACGCAATGGAATATGAAATAAGCAATAAAAACAGAATTTCCGATGCGTTGGATTTTTATTTTTCATTGCCTGTACCTGACCAATCGCACTGATTCAGTTTTATTATAAGTCGAAATGAGATTATCAGTTGGCCTGTTCCAACTTCTTGCATGCTTCATCTTTTCCCTTTTCACGTTGGAGAGAAAAAGAGAAAAGATGAACAATGCAAGAAGTTGAGCTAAAAAATGAACAGGGGCTTTCTGTTGCCTGGCTCGTTTCCTGTCCCATTTTTGCCTGTACCCTTGTATTACGTTCAGGCCCTTTACGGACAAATTATTATCTTCGGTTCACGCTGAAAGCACATAGAAGGTACCATTCAGAAAAGACGACAAGATGAGTCATCGACGTCCCGCAGGATCGCGGTCGAGGATGTCGACGGACGCGTTCCCGGGTTTCCCGGCGGTGCCGACCGATACGCGATATACACGCCCACGCACTGGGAAACGCGCGCGACCGCCGGGCGCCGACCGCGACCCGGTACGGTTAACGCCGACACGGGGAAAGAGAGCGGCAAGGACGATACGGTACGAGGGGGTGGCGGAACAAAGAGCAATCGAGAGAGCCGGGGAAACTTGGAGAGCGGGACGCGAACGGAGAAGCGTAGAAATAGAGCAGGAGTAACGAATTACGGCAACAATACGCGATAAATTGCTAGCAAAAATACACCAAAAATTGCAGCAAAATTGAACGAGCAATCGGAACAAAGATACATAAAAAATTAGAGCAAAAATACGCTCTAAAAATTTGTGCAAAAATGGGCGAAAAAGTCGAGATTAAATCAGTCGATCCGCCGCACACACATCGGCGGTTCCCGTAATGTAATTCCCATAAATATTAATTGGCGCCGATCGCAGTTCACACTCGACTCTCCCGGTCACTTCCCGAAGGCGGGAAGAGCGGGGAGACCGGGAGGACCGGTCTACGCGGAGCTACGGTGAATTTCAATCAATGTTTACGGGAACGGACCCACCGTCGTGACGAATGCGTGCGTGTGCGGCTGTTAATGCACACCGATCGTCATCACACGTAAAACTCCACTCACCTCCTCGAGGGACGTGATGGTCTGCCTGCACTGCGGCATTCGCGATACGAACGTGGACGTGGTGGGCGAGTTGTAGTCCTCCCTCGTCTCCTCGACGAACTCACTCACGGCGATCAGGCCCGGCATCTTTCCGCCCGCCGTTCTCGTTTTCCGTCAGTTGTTCCGTCTCCCGCCGTCCACCCCACCCTCCGCCGCACAGCGCCCAGCTGCAAGCGAGGCTGTCCCCTCGGCGGATCGCGCCTCTCGCCACCGCGACTCCCCCTCGCTCGTCCTCCTCCACCTCCTCGTCGCCGCCGCCGTCGTCGTCGTCGCCGGCGAACGTTTACACTCCGCGGACACCGTTCACTTCACTTGTCTCTCACCATAAATTCCGCCGGGGAGCCTCCGATCACGTTTTTCCGCCTCCGCCGAGCCGCGCGTCGCCTTCCCGTGACGCACGGGTATGAACGTCGTCGTCCCGGTACGAAGAGTTGACAGGGAGCGAGAGAGACGGGGAGAGACGTGCGCGCGTATGCGTATGAAGGAGAGCGGGCGCGAGAGAGAGCGAGAAAGACAGAGAGGAATGAATGACGAGGGTACGAGGACTACGAGGGAAGCGAGACAGACGGCAGGGTTCGAGCAGCGTGTGTCCGACGGAGTCACCACCTCTCCGTGTCGCGTGTCCGCGCAGAGAGGGAGAGAGAAAGAGAGAACGGACAGACACTCGCGCGACGACAGACCGGCGCGATTATTTTCGCGACATGGTCGCGGCGAGCCACCAGCCGTCGCGGGGACGCATAGCAGTAACAGCAACAACACTGGCAGCAGCAGCAGCAGCAGCAGCAGGAGCTCGCTCTTCCCGTCAGCGAGGAGCGCGGGTCACCACGCACACGTAAAGTACATGCGCGCATGCACACCGCCGTGACGAACGGTCAGACGGACGGACCGACGCGCACGAACACGAACACATAAAAACACACCGGAGAAGGTGTACACGCGCGCGCGCGCGCGTACGCAGCTGCGTCCGCGGGATGCTCCGCTCCTTCGCGTTCGCAATCTCGCACCTTATCGCGCACCCTAAACTACTACTCGGTCGGTTGCCGAGTACCGCCGAAACACTCGCGACTGCGGCCGAAGTTTCACTGAGGCGGCGCTGTCGACGCGCGCGCGACCAGGCGCCGCCGGGCCAGCCGTTCGCCACGAAGTAAAACGTTACTCAAGAGCGGTCGCTCGTCGACAGCGGGATAGCAACAAACATGGCGACGGACGGGAAGGTCGGACGGCGGAACGAGAAAAGGCGGGAAAGTTAAAAGAGGGAACGGACGTTTCACGTGATATTGAAAAACTGTTGTACATAATTGTTTTAATATATTCAATAAAAAATATAAAATAATTGTATATTGCACCATAGATAACATTGATTTCCGCAGAAATGTTCAACATTTCATAATTTTAAAAATGTTGAAAATATTTAATTGCGCAAAATAAAAAGAAATATAATAAACGTTTTAAAAAATTATATTTTTAAACTCACCAAGATAATAGGAGGTATTTAAATGTATATGATAGTGTTAATTGAAATAAAAAAGGTATTTAATGCAAAAAAACTTTGTTTTCGAATTTATATCGTTGCGTAAATGCGATACGGCCAGAAAAAGGGAATTAAAGACAGCGTCGACCGATAATCGAATTTTTCAGATATTTCTTACTAAAATTGTCTAGTAGACACGTTGTGAAAATTTATTTTCTTGTAGAATGTAATGTGACACTAATATCCGTGATTTCCGAATGTACGTGTATTTCCAGTTGCGCCGAAAAATGAATATCATTATGAATTGAAGCACGAATCTAATAATAGAAACCTAATTTCTAATTCTTACATACTATTTAACTTTAATCACAGCGGTAAAATTGTGTTGTACATAATTGAATACGATCCAAAAAGCAAAGTTCAAGTATTTAGATGTGTTTTATTACAGAAACATAAAAGAACTTTACATTACAATTTCCTGAAGCTTAAGCTGTTTTTTGCTCTTAGCCTTAACTTGCGCGGCGATGCGATCCAAGTCCCTGCGTCCTTGGCTGGTCAATTTGCGTCCCCCGAGAGGTGCTTTCTCTATCAACTTCAGCTGCTCCAAGCTTTGGAGCGCCTTACGCGCGACACCGCCTGCCGATCGGCAGAAGTGGCTGGGATGAGTGCCGTTGCGTTTACGTCCGCCAAAGACCTTGGTAACGGCGCCGACTCCGATCGGGCTACGAATATAGATGTGGCGTACTAAGGCCGCACATCTGATGTAAAACCAGTCGGGATCGTATGGCGCCAACTCCTTAAATTTGGCCGTCTTGACGATATCCACCCACTCTGGCACGCGCATCTTGCCAGTTCTAAAATTTTACAAAGTACAAGTCACAAATTATAAAATGTATCATCAAGCTACAGTATATGGTTATTATTCTTGTAAGAAACATACAACGTAAAATGAAAATTTTTATAAAAGTGAATTAAAATAATATAGAAAAGAAGGTACAACAATATAAAGTGATAAAAATAAGGATAAATAAGAACATAATCCAATATGTGTCCTGGACACTACACATGTACACATTAGTTAGGTTAGGTTAGACTTGAGACATATTTCTTACTTTTTAAGGAAGGCTGCAAAGGCCTTCACAAATTTTTGTTGATCGACGTCCTTTAGCGTTACAGACGGCATCTGGAAGGAAAATTTAACTCGATAAAATAATTAACACGTAAAATAGCATGTACACACGTTGCACGCGTGTAAAATACGAAATCAACGTTCTGAATCCCCCGATCTCGATAATTGATAAAGAATCGTGGAAGCCGTTAAATCGATACGTTATAAATTCATCATGAATTCTCTTATATTATTTATTAAAATCTTAAATTGTCAGAGGACTGTCAACACCACGCACCTTCGTGAGAATTACAAACCGGAAAGAGCAAGATTTAACTAGCGGGAGAACGGCTAGGGTTAAAAGCAAACCAAAATGGTAGCCATGAGTGCCATGGCACGAAGCGGACAATTCAAGAAGGCGAATGGACATTTCACGACTGCTAAATATGTTTACATAACCGAGATAAGAGCGATGTATCATAAATAATCAAATTAATCAATAGTAAAATCTTTCAGGCATTAATTTACTATATAAACGTCACAATTATGCTACAAAAATCTAATTTTTAAAGATCGTATTATATTTTATTAACAAAAAAGTAAAACTTAACAAAACGGTAAAAATAATGTCCGTACATAGTGTATGTATACATACATCAGATATGGTCAAAACACGAATTAACGTGAAGCTTTGAGCTCCTAAAAATTTTTATATCAATCGGAAATCAATAAATCGACTACATAATTTTTTTATATAAATCCTTATATATTTCGATTATTTCGTTTTCTAAAATCGGCTAAATTTGCCGGAAACTCGTCATAGCTATGCACCCAAGAGTCCAAGAGTAAATAAAATGAGGTCTACAATGCGAGTCGTAAAGTCGTGAGTCGTAAGAATTGACCAAT